TTAATGGCAATTCTTTGCTTTACACCATTTCAGCTTACAAAGGTTTCATAGGAACCCTCCCTCCACTTTCAGACAGTGGGGGAAATGTTCATGGGAAATCTCTGTAACTTCTGTTCATTTTTGCTGTGAACCTAAAACTGCTTTAAAAAGACAAAGAAAAAAAGCCTAGAATATATGATTTTTAACATTACCAACATATAAGTGTTTTATTTTTTTTTTTTTAATTTTATTTTTTTTTTTTTTTTTTATTTTTTTTCCTTTTTTCCCCCCCCCATATAAGTGTTTTAGAAATTTCACTTTTATTATTAATTTGTCTATTTTTGATTTGCTAACAATAGCTGCTTTTCAAACTGTTGAACGGAAACGTTCGTAACTTAATCCTTGTCCATGTACAATGTAACTGTATACCTGCCTTGTTTCTAATTATAACATATCTATAAATGAAGTTAAAAAGGAAAAAAAAATTTTTAACTTGTAAGTAAAATTTTCCATACTGGTCGGCATTACTTCCTGAATCCTGAATACAATCACCCTTAAACAACAGTGACGCCTGCGTTCATGGAGTCCATGACCTGGGCGGCCCCCGTCTTACCCTTATTGTGAAGATACGCTATAGCTGATGCAAGACTGTGAATGATCCACCTTGTCTCAATCTCTGAGAAATGCCCTTTCCTACACAGAATTTCTTTGAGTTCTCCATCCTCACAGAGCTCCATCACAAGGTACATTTTCTGACATTATATATTTAAAAAGAGAGAGAAAGAGAGCAAATTATATAGTTGGGGATCTTAAAAATGTGATATATTACATATACAGTAAAAACATGATCACAATCTTAAATCATCAACCTATTCATTCAAAAATATCTATTATCCACCATATACAAGATACTATGCGGGATACTAGGGGAACAAGGAAGCATAAGACACAGTCTTTACCCTCAAGGAGCTCCCAGTATAGTTAGAATGACAATATCATGTGGTAAGTATTAATAGAAGAGGCATGAGATTACAGAGGAGGGGAGGCTCTGCCTAAAACATGCTCACTGAGGAGGCGACATTAGAGGCAGGTCTGGATGACTGAACAGGAATACAGGAGTAGAGAATGTGGGCAAGAACACGTGGTACATGCAAAGACTCCAAAGCTTGAAAAAAGCACTGGCTGTTAATAGAATAACTAATATCTCAGTGTTAACAGCATTTGGAGTTTGGTAGGCGAGAGAAGAGTGGAGTGGTGAGGGGTGAGGCTAGAAAGAACAAGCTGATGCCAGGCTGTAAAGGGTCTTGAATATCACACAGAAGGGTTTGGAATTTTTCCCCATATGCGATAAGGAGCCACTGAAGATTTGTAAGGTGGCATCTGGAGTTGGGGAAAAGGTGTATGCTATTATCAATTTTGCATTTCTAAATGGACACTCTGTAACAGTAATATGGAGCCGGCCTCAGCCAACTTTTTCTCTAAAGGCCAGGTCCAGACAGTAAATATTTTCAGCTTTGTGGGCCACTCAATCTCTTTTGTAAAAGCTGCCACAAACAATACAACAAAACTTTATTTATGGACTTTGAAATTTTAGTTTCATATAATTTTCATATGTCATAAAATACTACTGCTCTTTTACATTTCTTTCAACCATTTAAAAATTTTTAAAAATCTCAGCTTATGAGCCATAAAAAATAGGCAGCGTGACAGATTTAGCTTGCATGCTGTAGTATGCTGACTTCTGTTTAGAGAGGATAGCGGTGAGGCACAGAATGAAGACAAGAAGGGGAAGAAGAAAAAGATGTGAAAAATACCTAGGAGGAAGAAACAGTGATACTTGGTGAATAATTGGGGAGAAGTGGTAAAAGCCATAGATGAAATGCCTCTTCCATAGTTTGTTTCTGTTGATGCGTATTAATTTTACTTTAGGTATTCCAACAGTCATCTATTGAGTTAAAAAGATTCACTGAAATCTAAAATGCAAGTCTTTTTCATACCAATTGCTACTCAGTCGCAGAATACCCTCCCTGTCTCCATTCTAGTCTATGCTGCTAGATTTTTGCTGTTATTTTTAAGATTTGGGGGTCTGATTCTATTCTACAACCACTACGAATGCAAGTTCTGTGTTCAATCAGCAAGCATGAAAACAGGAAGAGAAGGCAAACACTCTTTCTTTGTATAGTCAAAATTCTGATTCACCAAACCTCAGGATGCTTTAGATAACTTCAAAAGTAACTAAAGAATTCTGCAAAGTGTAATACATAAGTCAGCTTTTGAACTAGGCCACATGTTTCTTCAGTGACAGCGCTGTAGGGATCACTGGTACATGAAATGATAAGTGAACTCTTTAGAAGGAAAAGTTACCTTAGCAGCACTTATAATATAAATTGGTGTCAATTTTAAATATGTAAGTTGATAAAAGTTATATCAACCAATTTTTTAAAAGTCTTTATATAATTATTAGCAATAACTGTGTAAATCTGGAGAACATTTAGACTCACAAGAAACCCTAACACAGTCAGACTGGGTGATCAATGCTAACACCATGGCCCACCCATCAGGTAGCAATTTCCAGTAATCCTTAAGATATTGAAGCCATCTTAAGGAAGGTCTAGGCATTTGTGTGAGTTGCAGATTGGGGAGGGGAGCATATCTGACCTACATGAATCAAGAGCAAGCAATATATACAAAAGACAATCACAGATGATGGTTTCCTTTGCCTTCAAACTACTCTAGATTTGAACATTCACCTGTGCCCATGATGGAGTAACAGAGACCAGACTTACCCTCCCTTCCTGAAACAACTAAAAAATAGACAAAATACATAAAACAACACTTTTCAGACATTAGACACCCAACAGGCTAGGACAGTGATCCCCAGGAGGGACAAGCCCCATGATTATCCTAGCTTAGCATCTGGAAAGAGTTTCCAGGCCGCAGAGCAGAGAGAAGGAATCCATCTGCTCTATGAATTGAGAAGATGAAACGGGGAGTCCAGGAAGGCCAAAGACAACTAAAGTTAACAAGGCGCATACCAAAAAGGAGAAAGCTTACACAGAGAAAGCTCCAGAGGTTTGCAGCGAGGCATTAAATACTTCAGCCACGTACTAATTAGCATATGTAAATGAGGAAACTATATGAAGCTGGGAAAGGAACCTTGCAAAAGGAGCAGAGAAAACACTCACTGCAGCTTACACATGACCAGGAAAAGTTTGTATCCCCATTAGTCATAGTGGAAAATCTCATAATTCATGGGGCATTGGGTAGAGTACTCAGAAGGGTCATACCCCATTAGTAGGAAAAAATTAGCCCTAGACCAAAGGCTGGTCTGGTACCACCTAACAAAGTTTAAAGCAAGCTTCAAAAGTATCAAACTATTTCTAAGTAACTTAACTATGTCCTATGACAAAGCTAAAGAATAGTTATAAGAATATAAAAATATCCAGCATCCAATAAAAAAATTAACAGACATATAATGTAGCAGGAAAATATAACCCATAATGAAGGGGAAAAAAATCAATCAATCGAAAGTGACCTAGAAATAACACACATGATCGAATTAGTAGAAAAGGACATTAAAAGTTATTATAACTACATTTAAGAAGGAGGAAATATTGACCCAAATCACATTTCCACTGGAAGGGATAAACAGAAAATATGATGCTACAGAAAGAGAAACTACTGAATCTGAAAACATCACAATAAAAACTATGCTAAATGAAACAGGGACAGAAAAAGATTGAAAAAAATGAATAAAGCATCAGTAGCTGTGGACAATATTAAACAATCTAACATGTGTGCTTGGAGTCCCCAAAGTGGGAGATGGCAGAAAAATATATTTAAAGAAATAATGGCCAGAAATTTCCTAAATTTGATGAAAACCATAAACTCACAGATCCAAGAGGCCCCATGAATCCCAAGCACAAGAAACATAAAGAAAATTACACTGAGGCACAACATAACCAAATTGCTTAAAGCTGACAATAAAGAGCAAACGTATTCCAAGATTTGGAGATAAAAGAAATCACAACTCTAAGGCTGAGAAGTAGAGAAGACTTTTGGCATCACTGTCATGTCCCGCTCCCAAATGGATAACTGTGGTCTTTAACAGTTATTAAGCACTCCTAATGAATCAAGCATAATGCATAATGCAAGTTGACTATTACTGCCTGAGAGACTGGCAAAGGAAACAAAAGATAATAGCTACCATTTAATGAGGCAGACGCTTTATATCCATTTTCCCATTTAATCATTCAATAAGCAAATGAGGTCGATACTATTGTTAAACCCATTTTACAGATGAGGAAACTGATGTATAGAGAGATTGAGTAACTTGTCATAGTCTCATAGCTAATAAGTGGTGGAGCCAGGATTCAAATGCACAGGTAATCTGATCCCAGAGTCCACATGCCTAACCACTATTATTAGACTGCCTCCACTCAGAGAAACACCCAAGCCCACTGGCACTAAATTATCTGGAGGCAGAATGGCAAATCCCCAGGCTTTAGAACAATTCCACATGAAAATTATAGGCATTTAAAGAGAAGAATGATAACATCTAGGGAAGAAAAAAGATTAAACACGTTGGTAAGACACAAATGAGAAAATATCTTCTATGTAGTGCCAAATATATTCGTGCTAATTTTATTATAAAGCTAACCTTGCAAAATTAAGACAATATTCCAAGGCTCTAATTGAGGAATCAAGGACCAAAGCAAAAGGAAAGTCACCTCTAAGGAAGCTTTGATCACTGTTTGGTTATGTATAAAGTTGTTTCAATTTTAAACATTTGTTTTCAATATGCCACCCAGAAATATCACTAAAGCCATCAATCTAATCATCAGACACCTAATTATACAATCAATAATAAAAGTCCTCCAGAATGCTCTCATCAATCTCCAGTGACAGACTTATGTCAAGGACATGAGCAACTGTGCCCCAAAGGGATTAATCCAGAAAGGAATGATGTTCATTTTGTAATAATCACAACTTTCAAAATGCAGCACCTGATAAAGCTTTACCTTGGGCGTCTCGAACACTTGTTCCAGATGTATGATGTGTTCATGTTTCACACTTTTTAGGATGTTCACCTCCCGTTCAAGTAACTTCACAGCAGAGCTTCCAGCCTTAAATAATGAGGAAACATATATTTCACAGATGAATGTCGCTACTACACACCTCAATATAAAAGTTACAATTATTCTTATATTTTTCCTACATTTTCTTGAGAGGTTTCTTTTTCAAAAGATAGCATGATAAAATTAAACTATACCCCTTCTTTCCTTTGTCCAATTTCAACTTATATGTAATTTGGCTTCACACTACATGCATTTCTGAGACTGTTTCTATAAATTAACCACAATCTGGTCTCTGTCCCCTCACAAAATTATTCAGATTTTTAAGACAGTATTTGGTATTTCCTTTAAAATCATGTGGACCCTTTGATGTTAGCATAATAAAAACAAAATCTACTTTCCAAGGAAATCAGTTGGAGAAGATAAAAATAAAGTGTTTTTCTGTTTTGTGGTTGTTTTGTTTTGATTATATTTATAAATATCAAAAGAAACAATAGGAAGTGAGATTCTACACTTAGCCCTGCATTATATCACTTCCTGGTCCCCAGGCCTCAAAAATTAACTGAGAGAGAAAGAGAAATGCAGATGTTGCCTTCCAACCAGCCTCACTCCAATGTTCCCTCCTTACATGTAGCCCTTCACCATACCTGACAGCAAAAGGTAAAGGCAGGGACTCCCCAGGGCACACAGGCCTTCGGTCAGGGTGTGAGTAACTGACTTTCTACAATGTCATCGAAGAAATTCTAGAAGGGCTGTTCTCATCCTCACCACCACTGCCACCACCCAGTCATCACCCCTATTGCTATCTAAGTTACCATCATTATTTGTAAATAAGCATTGTCCTCATCCACATGTAAATATTCCTGAAAGGGGTAACCAAGGTCTTACCCCTTCCTCCTTCCCCCCACTGACCCTTCCAAGTTTGGGAGAGTACATATTAGCTCTTAAAGGATTGCAAAGGGATTGATCATAAAGCAATCTTGACCTAGTTAAAATTTTATCTAGAGTTATCCCTGCTTCTAATTGCCCTTATGCGTTAATCATCACTATCTCAGGATTGCATAGGAAGCTGCCCACCCACTATGCCCTGCCCATGTAGGATGAAAGTCACATTTTAAGCTTATCCTAGAGGGTTAAGAGAAATAGCGACTGTGAAGAGTGAACTTCTGTCTAGACGAGCTATGGAAAGTTATCATTGCTTCTCCTAAAATCCACCTCAATTTTGTTCCAAACTCCCTCCCCAAATGACTGGACTTGTATGTAATGCAGTAATATATTGCCCAGTTCACACACTGACGATGTAATTTTGTTTTACTATTCTTAGTGTCCTGTAAACTCTCAGCATCAATATGTGTGTACAAGATCATGAATTCCTAAAGCTGCAAGCAGGTATCTTGACTATATAACCCTGAAACCTAATGGCTAACCCTACCTGACACCAAAGGGGCAAAGAAAATAATATCCCATGTAGCACTGTGGTTCTAAAGTTCTGAAGATTTCTAGAAAAGCTCCGGATCTCCCTTTATGGAGATTTATGTGTTATTCTATTGATCTTTAAGGAGAAACAGTGTGGTGTGTAATTTGTGATAGTTTGTTTTAAAGAACACATAAAACCTACTATTTCATTTTAGAAATATAAAATGTATCATCACAAATCTAAGCCCAGGCACAGAAATTTTTTAAAAGGTGATGAAATGGTCAGGTGTAAAGGAAAACCCGAGAAGTTAGACTCTCCATTAAAGAGAAGCCCAGTCGTTTTCCAGCCAAAAGAAATCCAGTGAGGAATATGGAGAATACAAGTAAACAGCATCATAGGTAGTTGGGGGGAAAGTGGCTCACACTGAAAAAGCAGGTAGGACAAATAGACAGAATAAGCTAACAGCGAGGAAAAGGGAACCAAAGAAAAGGAAAGAACAGGGGAAAAGTATAGCAGAACTACATCAGGAGAGAGTCCCAGGACTCATTTTTGGACAAAGACATCTCTAGCCAATAGCCCTACATTTATACATACTGATAATCAGACCTTACCTTCAACGCACACTGGTTATATTGGTTATGTCAGTTATCCTTTCACTTGCTGGAGAAATGCTCACACCTCTCCAGGGGAACAGCCCAGATCCCCGGCCCATAGGGTCAGAGGCAGTTGTGTTAAAGTGAAAACCTGTGCTGCCTACTGGCACTGTGCCCTCAGGATGCTGCTGCTAATAAACCTTACCTTTTCTTTGTTCACTTTTTTAATTGCCCACTTAGTTCCTGTTTCCTTGTCTGTGGCTTCAATGACCATTCCAAAGCTCCCTTGTCCCAATACTCTTCCAAAAGTATAGATTTCCTGGATAAAAAATAAGAGCTCCTTTGTCTCTCTCTGCCATTCATCAGTTGTTAAAATTGAACACAATACTGACAGATATCCACCCTAGGGAAGAGAAATCTGCCCCGGGGTAAAATCAAATAGAAGACACAACATATTTGCTTCAATATTAATAAACACATCTTAATTAAACAAAAATGAATTTTGATGAATTCGATTAAATGTCCTTTGGAGGAAAACCATAAAAATCCTAATGGGGAAATATGGAAAACCTCAAAAGTATAAAAACGCATCTCTTACAAACTATAATATTAATGAAATATCGTCATAAGAAAAAGGAGGAAGAGAGTATTCATACATACTCGTACATAAATATGTATGTGTATAAAATACGTTCACCCAAAAAATCATCCCCAAACTCTTAGAGCTATATGATAACACATATTAACCATGGAACACCTGGTTTCTTGCTTATCAAGAAACACTTTTTCTTTATCTTCATAATTGCTATTAAAAATCATTTTTTCCCTTTTGTTTAGACAAAGCAGTATGTGACAGAAATTTTTTTAAATCAGCACAGAGAAGAAAAAAACCATCCATACTAACACTATCCAGACCAAGAATCCTTCCATTTATCATTTAACTTCTGCTTACAAAGACAGAACGCACTGGCCTTGCCAACACCAGCATTGTGGTTCATACTGTAAAATCACAAATAAGTAACCAATTACACTTGCATTTCTTGTGAATTTGGTTGAGGAGAGTCAGTCTCCCTGATCCAAACCAACTCCAGGGCATTAACAAGCGTTTCTGGGAGGGAATGAAGGAAAGATGGTAGGGAGGAAGAAAACGAGAGAGAGAGAGAGAGAGAGAGAGAGAGAGAGAGAGAGTAGGAAAAGCAGAAGGAAAGGGAAAGAGAAACAGAGGGAGGAAGGCGGGCAAGAAGGAGGAGGGGGGAGAAAAGGAGAGAGTGAGAAGGGAAGGGAAGGGAAGGGAAGGAAGTGCTCAGCTTCAGCGTGTTAGACTTTCCTTTAGATGTTTCCTTGTGATATATACCTTGGGAGCTACAAAGATGAATAAAACATAATTCTTGTTTTCTCAGAATTTGTAATCTACTCAAGAGACAAGATTATTACTTAAGTCATAAAGTCTTACGTTAAAAAAAAATACAAAATGACATCGGGGGCAGAGAGCAGAGCTAACACACTGAGAGAAGAAAGGAAAACATTTATGAAAGAGCTGGCATCTGAGACTGGCCTGTGAGAGCACAAAGGGAAAAAAATAATTGACAATTCTACATATTTTCTCTCTAAATATATAGAACCACAACTTGGACACAGTATTTTAATATCGTTTAAATAGGACTTTTTAAATGAGGGATGGGTAGAGGAATAGCCTAACTGCCCAGCTAGTATTTTGTAAACTAATCTTTTTCATCAACTAACTGCTTTGACATCATTACATAGTAGTGTAAATAACGAGAAAATGACTTCTAGCTTGTATTAATTTTAAGAGGATGCTATTAAAATAGTAATATAGATCTATTTTTATTGACATAGAAGACCATGATATAGTGTAGAGTGTGAAAGAATCCACAATATGATCCCATTATGGAAATGTGTGTATGGGGGGTGGGGGTGCTTATATTGATGTCTGGAAAGATATTCATCTAAATATTGAGTAGTTATCATTGGGTAGTAGAATTTTAGATGACTGCAGCTTCCTTTTTTATACTCTTCTGAAATGCTTAAAATCTTTAAAATAAGCCTGTCCATTTAATGGAGGAAGAGAAGCTTCAACTACATCCATTAAGGTTATTTCTTAAAAATATGTAGAAATTTAGAATATTTTGTAATTTAAAACAGGAAAAAAACTGAAAAAATAGGATGATTTATACATGCATTAAATGAAGTAAAAGTAATAAATGTTAAAATTGGTTAAATCTGACTCATGAGTTTTATTTTCTTCATTTTTTTATCTATATTTTCCTAATTTTTCACAACACATTTTGATTTTATAAAAGCTCTTACAACTAAATCTAAAACTCAGGAAACTTGTAGATTTTTAAAAATACAGGCCTTTTATTTAAAGAGAGAGATTTCAACTTTTCAAGTCAGAATTTCTCAAGAAGATTTTTCTGATCACTTTAAATAAATTGCCAAATATCTCTTAAAACATTTTTTTAAGTTAACGTTAATGCAGTTTTCTTCTTGTAGTTGTTCTTGTTGTAGTTCCTTAAAACTCATGTTAAAAGAACACATTAATTTCTAAAATTGTATTAATATTTGCATGTAACAATTAGAATCCTAGGAAGACTAATATCGGTATTCATCTAACCAGAGCCTGTAAAAAATATAGGCGTCCATAAGGGAAATTCCGGCCTCACTACCAGTCACGAAGGCAGCGAACAGCCAAACCATCTCAAGTCATCTGGGCTCTTGCTGCCTCTTAAAGAGGTCCACACAAAGACTCCACGATTGCCCTCAGCAACAGGTAAGACCTGAAGACCAAAATGTTCTCATCTAATAAAAATGCTCTCTGCTTTAATTAAAGTCCATTTGGTCCTCTGTGAACAGAAAAAATAATTAGTCTGCATTTTCTGTAGCAAAGACTTTGACATACTAGAAAATGGTAAATTTCCTCTTTCCTTCCTTTTCATAGAGACTTATTTTTAAATCATTTTTTTCCTTAGAGGCTTATTTTTAAATCATTTTTGCCATTAACCATTGACTTAGAAGAAGCCTGAAAGTTCCTAGTAGCTTCACTTTGCTTTCTGTATACCTCAATAGCAGCCGCATTGTCCATCCTGATATGAGGAACTTTTCCTTCTGTGAAGTTGCCCCGACTCCATTGTTGTTGAGATGCCTTTCTCTCTACATTTGAGGTTCTTGAGGGCTTAGACCAAAAGGAACAAAAAAAAATTTTTTTAAATAGTAACATTAAGATATAACACACTTGTTGACTAAGTAAGAACCCTAATTTGGATAATCTGACAAACCTTCAATGTGTGCCATGATATTTATTGTGTACAAAATAATTCACTGTCTTCTAAGCCCTATGTGATTTATTAGCTCATTAGGCTAAAAGAGACCTTAAGAAGTCACTCAATCTAATCTCCTAAATCCAGGCAAGTGTACATGATAACCTGCAATAGCAGATAAATCAGAACTTACTCGATGATTCTTTAAAATCATGAGACAGCAACTTCATAGCTTTCTCAATCATCCTTGTTTCAAAATATAACAATCATTTTGAATAGGTTATACATAAAAATTACTGGCCATTCACAAAATAGACTTCAAATGAAAATAACATGGTAACTCACTCAGTAACAACACACTCAAAGACAACTCTATGGCAATAACTGTACTGTAATACAAATCAGGACAAACAGTTTAGGGTGAAAATTTGAAAAAGTTACAACCTGAGAGCTGAGAACTTAACTTTTCTTAACTTAGTGCTCTCTGTCTCCAAAGCTGTGCTACATCAAGTGCAATCTTCACACTGCCTCTTCTCTATAAATACACACAAACCAGTCCAACTATGTAGTCATAGATTGTAACTAATGCAAATTGATTGTGTAAAGTATATTTGATATTCAACCTAGATAACTGGGAATTGTCTTAAATAATAATGACCCTATATTTAACCACAACCGTAAATATCATTCTGCATCAGTTGAAATAAAATGTCCCAAAATTCAGATTTAATTCAACTTGTAAACTAATTCAGACAACCTACTGAATGGGTGAAGATATTCAAGAATGATACATTGATAAGGGGTTAATATCCAAAATTTACAAAGAATTTAAAAAGTAACAATCCAATTACAAAATGGGCAGAGGACCTGAACAGACATTTCGCCAAAGAGGACATACAGATGGCCAATAGACGTATGAAAAGATGCTCAGTGTCACTAATCATCAGAGAAATGCAAATTAGCACCACAATGAGATACCACTTCACACCTGTAAGAATGGCTATCATCAATAAATCAACAAAAAACAAGTGCTGGAGAGGATGTGGAGAAAAGGGAACCCTGGTGCACTGTTGGTGGTTGCAAACAGGCAGCCACTATGGAAAATGGCTTGGAGGTTCCTCAAAAAATTAAAAGTAGAGCTACGTTATGACCAAGCAATTCCACGTCTGGGTATTTATCCAAAGAAATACAAAACACTAATTTGAAAAGATATGTGCACACCTATGTTCATTGCAGCATTATATACAATAGTGAAGAAACTGAAGCAACCTAAGTGTCCATCAATAAATGACTGGATTAAGAAGATGTGGTACAGATATACAATGGATATTAATTCGGCCATAAAACAGAATGAAATCTTGCCATTTGCAATAAGATGGATGGACCTGGAAGGTATTATGCTAAGTCAGGGGTTGGCAAACTTTTGAGATGGAAGAGCCAATCCCGACTCTCACAACAATTTAAAAATTATTCAAGAGCCATAAAACAAATGAAATCACCATTATGTGAATAATATCTGTTAAAAATTTTATAAATGAAACTATGATAGTTTTATTTTCATTTTCAATTTTACTTCAGAGCCACATGTACATACCCAAAGAGCCGCATGTGGCTCGCGAGCCACAGTTTGCCGATCCCTGTGCTAAGTGAAATAAGTCAAACAGAGAAAGACAAATACCATGTGATCGCACTTAAATGTGGAATCTGAACAACAAAATAAAGAAACAAAACAGAAACAGACTCATGGATACAGAGAATAAACTGACGGTTGCTGGATGGAAGCAGGGTTGGGAGATGGGTGAAAAAGGTGAAGTGATTAAGAAATACAAATTGGTCGTTATGAAATAGTCAAGGGGATGTAAAGTACAGCATAGGGAATACAGTAATTAATATTGTAATAACTATGTATAGTGCCAGGTACTAGACTAATCGGGGTGCATCACATCGTAAGTTAAACAAATGTCTAACCACTATGCTATACACCTGAAACTAACAAAATAACATTGAATATCAACTATAATTGAAAATAAAAAATAAAATAAAAAAAACCAATTCATTTCTATGTAAATTATTTTTAAATAGACGCTAGAACAACATTCCGAATTATTCACGATCCTGGGAAATAATTTGGGCAGTGTTGGAAATGTCATTAAAGAAATTACTAACCAACTTTGCTCACCTCTTATGTAAGAAAGAAATGTTCCCTTAATAGTTAATAAGGCAATGAATTAGCTGACAAGGGCCCATGGGATATATGGATGAAACTAGGGAAGGGATTAGGGAATGGGATTTTGTTTGTTTGTTGTGTTTTTTAAATTAGTTTATTGGGGTGGCAATGGTTAATAAAGTTACACAGGTTTCAGGTGTACAATTCTGTAATTCATCATCTATATATCACATTGTGTGTTCACCACCCAGAGTCAGTTCTCCTTCCATCACCATACATTTGACCTCCTTTACCCTCATCTACCATTCCCTCCCCGCTTACCCTCTGGTAACCACTAAACTATTGTCTGTGTCTATCAGTTTTTGTTTCTTTGTTTGTCTTGTTTCTTTGTTGTTTTCAGTTTTCAGTGAAGTCATATGGTTTTTGACTTCCTGATTTATTTTGCTTAGCATAATAATCTCAAGATCCATCCATGTTGTTGCAAATGGCACTATTTCATCTTTTCTTATGGCAGAATAGTATTCCACTGTGTATATATATCATGTCTTCTTTATCCATATTACCCAAAGCAATATACAGATTTAATGCAATCCCCACTAAAATCCTACTGGCATTTTTTAAAGAAATAGAACAAAAAATCATCAGATTTGTATGGAACCACAAAAGACCCTGAATAGCCAAAGCAATCTTAAGAAAAAAGAATAATGCTGGAGGCATCACACTCCCTGACTTCAGCTTGTACTACAGAGCAACAATAATCAAAACAGTATGTGTGGTATTGGCAGAAAAACACACAGACCAATGGGATTTCAATTTGTGTTGAAAAGTAGAACTTTCAGTATTTACCAAATCTTTTGCAGAGACATTATTTTTGCTGGTTTGTTGTTCTTTTTTTCTCTCTGGTGAAAGTGAAATGTCTGAAAGTGAAATGTCTGAACTACCAATGCTTGATGTCTCTGACATTTCCACCACCGATGTTGGAGAAAGGCTTGTTTTGCCAGAACATACACAAAGTTCTGTCTGAGAAGTAGATGAACAGTTGGAGCATTTTTTGGATATTTTACCAAAGCCACTATCAGCCATTTGCTTAACTCTGCAACAAAAGCAACCTGAAAGAAAGATGTTTCCACTGTTTGAGGAAAAGAACCAAACCAAAAAGGATAACGTAAGCTGATGGCAAAATTTGTAACTTCCAATTGCTGAGGTCCTTAGGTTAATGATGCATTAGACATATTCACACATGCGAGCTGCAGAAAGAAAAGAAATGACCATTTAGAAAATTATTTCTTATCCTATCACCCTCCTAGAAATGAGAGAAACACTAGAAACTAATGCCCAAACCATTCTGCCTATACCTGGAAAGTTAACATTTACAACAAAATTAGGATATATTTCTAAAAACTATTGGATTCTCATCTTTCAAAATTGAATTCTTGAATTCCAGAAATGTAATTTGCTTAACAATCAAAAGAGTCACCCTCTGTTCAGGACCATGAAACTGCTGAAAAGCAGTCTAAGGTAATTGGGTGGGTTGATATCAATTTTTTAATGAAATAAAATATTTTGCATAAATCCTCGGCAAATTCTGTAAAACTTAATATATATATATATATATATATAATGTGTGCGTGCATCTGTACTTGGTCATATTATAAAATGCATTTCTTAATGTGGGTTGTGGTAAAAAAAATGCTGGTGTAAAATATATATTACTGTGATTTCAAAATTTAAACCTGGTCTACTACTTACTAGAGAAAATTCGTATTATACACTTTACAAAGAAGTAGATAATTTGATTTGACAATACTACCTAATTCTAAAAGTTCAAAGGCAATCTTAGAAGAATCCTCATTTTTATACTCAAATAGCAAAAGTAGCAAGTAGTGGGTGCTATTTTTCCCTGAGTGTAGAACAGATATGCCTAGCATTCTACCTAAATAGAGTTATTGGCAGCTGTATGGTAGCAAGTTGGGAAGATCTGAGCTGAGGAAGGAGGGAGGTACGTGTTCTGCAGTACATATAAGAGAATACCTTGAGAAACCTCCAGAAGTAACTGGGAGTACATTATTATGGTTTTGTGCCATACTATTGCAGATATTATTTAAAAGTATATTTTTTAGTCACAGATTTTGCTGAAAAAGGTCAAGCATTTGTAAAAGTAGGGTGTGTGTATTTACTGGCATCAGTTGCATTCTTTTTACCTTCTACCTGTCTATAAGGTACTTTTCATACACCTTTTCTTTCCTTTTTTTAAAATTTTTCTAAATAAAGTAATATCAAGATGCAGAAATGAAACTGAAGTTATGGGCCAAAAAACATTATTTATTATGCCACCTTGGAAAACTGATTGGAAATTGTAAAGTTGAGTATTTATCAAAGCTATTGGTACTTCACGATGATGGCTTGTCACTTAAAGATGAAATTTATTCCAAATAGCATGAAATCAAAATTGCAATTCACATTTAGACAGCACTATACATTTGACAAGGATTTTATTGTTTTTATTTATTTTGTTTTTCAATTACAATTGACATATAATATTATTTTCAGGTGTACAACATAGTGATTAGACATTTACATGCCTCATGAAGTGCTCACCCCAATAAGTCTAGTATCCATATAACACCATACATAGTTATTACAATATTATTGACTATAGTATTTCCTATGCTGTACTTTACATCCTTATGACTATTTTTATAACTGGCAATCTGTACTTCTTAATCCCTTTCACTTTTTTCAACCAAACCCCAAACACACTCCCATCTGGCGACTATCAATTCTCTGCATCTATGAATTTGTTTCTCTTTTGTTAGTTTATTTTGTTTTTTAGATTCCACACATAAGCAAAATCATATAGTATTTGTCTTTATCTGTCTGACTTATTTCACTTAGCATAATACCCTCTAGGTCTATCCATGTTGTCTCAAATCTTAAGATTTCATTCTGTTTTATAATTAATATTCTGCTGTATATATGTACCATATCTTATTTATCCAATTATCTATCAATGGACACATAACTTGCTTCCATATGTTGGCTATTGTAAATAATGCTGCAGTGAACATAGGGGTGCACATATCTTTTTGAATTAGTGTTTTGGATTTCTTTGGATAAATACCCAGAAGTGGGGTTGCTGGATCATATGGTAATTCTATTTTTAATTTTCGAGGAACCTCCATACTGTTTTCTATAGTGGCTGCACCAATTTGCAATCCCACCAACAGTGCATGAGGGTTCTCTTTTCTCCACACCCTCGCCAACACTTGTTGTTTGTTGATTTATTGATGATAGCCATTCTGACAGGTGTGAGGTGATATCTCATTATGATTTTGATTTCCATCGACCTGATGATTAGTGATGTTGAGTGTTTTTTCATATCTATTGGCTATCTGTATGTCCTCTTTGGAGAAATTTCTGTTTCGGTCTTCTGCCCTTTTTTTTTTTTTTTTTTTAAGATTTTTATTGGAGAATTCGGGGATAGGAACAGTGCTGGGGAATTTGGGGGAAGGGGAACAGACAAGTTGTTGTCCTTTTGTTCTTCAGTCTAGTTGTGGAGGACATTGCTTCACTGGCCCAAGTTGGCACCATCAATGCGCTCTGCCTGGGCAAGGCAGATCAGTCGCCGGCTTCTGGACGGCAGCTCACGCTGGCTGCTGGCTACACACGGTAGCCCATGGCAACCCACTGCAGCAGGGGGGGGCTGTGGCCCAGCCCTCACCAGCGACTCACGGCAGCCCAGCTCCAGGTCGAGCTGTTGTTCAGCATCTTAGCTGTAGAGGGCAGTGTCACTGGCCCTCATATGTGGGATCCGAACCAGGGCACTCTGGCGTCCCAAGCCAGCTCTTAACCAACGTGCCACTCGGCCGGCCCCTCTGCCCATTTTTAAATCGGATTTTTGTTTGTGTGTTTGTGTTTATGTGTGTGTGTGTGTGTGTGTGTGTTGTATGAGTTCCTTATATATTTTGGATATTAACCCTTTACTGGCTGTATCACTGGCAAATATCTTCTCCCATTCAATAGGTTATTTATTTGTTTTGTTGATGGGCTCCTTCACTGTCCAAAAACTTTTTAGTTTGATGTAGTCCCATTCGTTTATTTTTTCTTTAATTTCTTTTGCCTGAAGAGACACACCCAAAAAAATATATATTGTTAAGAGCAATGTCGAAGAGCTTACTGCCTATGTTTTCTTCCAGGAGTTTTGTGTCGTACTATTTTTAGGTCTTATATTTAAGTCTTTAATGCATTTTGAGTTCATTTTTATATATGGTGTAAGAAAGTGGTTGTTTCATATTTTTGCATATTGATGTCCAGTTTTCTGAACACCATTTGTTGAAGAGATTGTCTTTACCCCCACTGTATATTCTAGACTCTATTCTGTTACATTGTGTGTCTATTTTTATGCCAGTACCATGCTGTTTTGATTAATACATCCTTGTAGTGTAGTTTGATATCAGGTAGTGTGATACCTCCAACTTTGTTCTTCTTACTCAAGATTGCTTTGGATATTTGGGTGTCTTTTGCGGTTCCATATAAATTTTTGGATTATTGGTTCTAGTTGGTTCTAGCTCTGTGAAAAATGCATTGATATTTTGATAAGAATTGCACTGATTCTGTAGATTGCTTTGGGTAGTATGGACATTTTAACAATGTTAATTCTTCCTATCCATGAGCATGGTATAGCTTTCGATTTATTTCAATGTTCTTCAGTTTTGTCTTTTTTTCTCTCTCAATGTCTTACAGTTTTATAAATATAGGTCTTTTATCTCCTCGGTTAAATTTATTCCTAGATATTTTATCTTTTTTGATGCAACTGTAAATGGGACTATTTTATAAATTTCTCTTTCTGATAGCTCATTATTGGTGTATAATGCAAATTATTTCTGAATATTAATTTTGTATCCTGCTATTTTACGAAATTCATTTATTAGTTGTAATAGCTTTCGGTGGAATATTTATGGTTCTCTATATATAGTATTATGTCATCTGCAAATGTAGTTTTACTTCTTTCTCTCCAACTTGGATGCCTTTTACTTCTTTTTCTTGTCTGACTGCTGTAGCTAGCACTTCCAATACTATGTTGAGTATAAGTGGTGAAAGTGGACATCCTTGTCTTGTTCCTGATATTAAAATGCTTTCAGTTTTTCACCATTGAATATGATGTTAGCTGTGGGTTTGTCATATATGGCCTTTATTATATCTTCTCTATTCCCACCTTGCTGAGAATTTTTATCATGAGTAGATGTTGGATTTTCTCAAATGCTTTTTCTGCATCTATTAATATGATCATATGATTTTTATCCTTCATTTTGTTTATGTGGTATATCTGAAGAAAGGTCCCCCATTTTCTTATTGCTTAAACTCAAGCCATGCATTACAAAATGGCCTCCACTCTCTCCTAGCTTTCAGATACCTAAAATCAGTAGCTGTTCTCAGAAATCATATGCTTACAAATAATAGGATATGAAAGTCTATAATTGTAACCAGCCTCAGTTTACCCCATACAACAGGGGCCCAGCAAAAATTCCCAAGTTCCTCTAAAAATCCAGTATTCTCCCTTCCCATTTTAACTAACCTACCCAACAACATCAACAGAAACGGCAACAGAATATACTCAGTAATAGCTTAATTTTTTAATCATTATATACTTACAACATAACTATCAATTAATTATAGTTGGATATTAACATAACCCTGCTATTTTAGCTTCTGTAATAACACTTTGCTAAGACTAAATACTTATCCCAACAGGGACCCCAACCCAGTAGAGGGGGCTAGGGTCTAAAGGACTTTCCACTGCCCACACCTGGAACTTCCTTGTTTGGACTTATTATCAGTTTCTGTATAACTCTCTTTGGAATTACCCTGCCTCGATATACCCCTGCAGTTTTTGCCTTTATAAACCCTACGCAACTTCCTTTCGGGGCTGTGAGGTCTTCAGAGGCACTAGCCCCCTCGCAGCCGCTGGCTTTGCAATAAAAACTCCTTGAATTGGCCGAACTGGTATCGTTGTCTGCCTGACTCGAGAGCTTTGCTTTACAACATATCATCTTAATTGATTTGCGGATATTGAGCCTAACTTGCATCCCAGGAATAAATCTCACTTGATCATGGTGTATGGCCTTCTTAATGTATTGCTGATTCCAGTTTGCTACTATTTTGTTGAGGATTTTTGCATTTATGTTCATCAGGGATATTGGCCTATAATTCTCTTATTTTGTAGTGTCTTTTTCTTCTAGGGCAGCAA